ACAAGAAATAATTTGTTTGAACAGCCTATGCTTCGGAAAGTTTACACATACAGACTAATGTCACTAGTGTTTTGCAGTTTCCCCTTCAGTCTAATGTTGGACATACTTCTTTTACAGCAAGCTACTAGGAAGGACCTTCAGAAGGAGACAATGTTCTTAAGTGTCAACCTCTTTGACCGACTTCTAAGTAAAGGGTACTTCAAAACCAAAAGATGCCTTCAAATTGCTGGCATAGCCTGCCTTACTCTGGCAGTCAGGATCGAAGAAAACCAGCCTTACAACAGGTAATGTTTCTTGCTCTGATGTTATTTCCGGGCTTGTTCACTTGAGAGCCACTAGAGTATCAGAATGAAATGGCTATAGAAAGTGCATATAACCAGATCTTGAAATCAAATGTAGAATCTGAGGAAGCTCATTGCAGATTACTTTGCATTCATTTCCATTTTCCTCTGATGTTAGTTACTGGGAAATATAGCTAAAAATTCCAAAAGAAAAGCTCAAATTGACGAGACTGAGGACATTAAACAATTTAAGAGTCTTGGTCTTTCACGTTCCATATCATTATTCAAGCATACTAATGTGTCTTAGGTCTCATTTGCAAAAAAAAAAAGGTTACATATTTAGTTGACAAGTTCATTACTTTCATTTCAGCATCCGCCAGAAGACATTCGTTGTTGCAGACACTGCATATAGCTGTTGTGAAGTGGTGGCTATGGAGTGGCTGGTGCAGGAGGTCCTCAACTACCAGTGCTTGCTTCCCACAATATACAACTTCTTATGGTACAAAGATTAACCATTGCTATACAATTGCTCAAGATCTGAAATTTGATGATTTTGCCTTCACTAAAAAGAGCCATTCCATCTACTTTATACGGCTTTCGTCACAATGGCATAGGTTCTATCTTAAAGCTACTAGAGCTGGCGAACGTGTGGAAAGGACTGCGAAATACCTGGCAGTACTAGCTTTGCTCAGTCATGATCACTTGTGCTACAGACCATCAACTGTAGCTTCCTCGCTGGTGTTTCTTGCTTCGTCAGCTGCAAATCTTTTTGCCTCCTGCTATTTGGTCACAAAGGTAATTTCTGAAAGACATATATATCAATCCAAGTAAAATGTGTCTGTAACTTCCTTTTCTACTTGCAAATACGACTTCAAATACGAAATCAGCTCAAGTGTTTTCTCCTAGTTTGGAGTACATGATGGGAAGTGCATTTGAACTCTAATCCGCATGCTTTTTCATCTCTTCATTTGCAGACTCATGCCAAAATAAAAGACGACGATTTACCTGAATGCATAAAGGTACCGTACTATATCCCTAACTACCACTATTTAGCTCATCTTTTGTTTCTCTGCAGAAACACACGTAGAGAGATTGAAACAACTAAAACAACACTTAAGTCGCTCCTTTTTTTAGTCCTGTATAATTAAAGTTGTGATATTAGTTTAAAGAGGTTACTGCTTTAAGCTTATCAAAGAAGTTCCCTAATGGAATGTTCATACATGACAGAGCTTGGAATGGTTGGTGAGGTACATATGATATGAAGGTGGACCAGCATCTCAGTCACACATTTTGGAGTAAATCAGTATATCTTCTCATTCTTTTGCTGAAACTTTCTTTTAGTCTCTTCTCAGAGCCGTGGGTAATAACATCAGGAAGTTTGATCAAGTGATGCTTACTTCATCATGTTGTCCAAGTAACAACCAAAAGTACACTTTATGTCTACTGTCCTTACCAGGAAATAAGCAAGTAGTTAGGGCTTAGAGTCAATCTTGTACTCAGCAGCACCCTGTACCCCAAAGTATCGATAAACAATGGTTTAGCTGAAAAAGAAAATTCGTGATCTATGTTTCAACTCAAATTTTGAAGGAATCTGTAAGACTGAATATCAAATGAGAAAGGGAGTTTGGCAATGGCAAAGCCATTAGCCACCCGATACCTTCAGGCTTCAGGTATGAGATGTAAATTGTAACTTCTGTACATGAAAGCTGGTACTCATTTTAGCATTGGCCTATGCCTCAACAGGTTAATGCTCACTCTCCTGGTTTATTTTACAATCCTAGCCAACTGTTTTATAATGCCTCAACAGGTTAATTCTCACTCTCCTAGTTTTTTCCATAACACTACCTTAGAACCACCACAGTTCCAAGGAGAGAGCACAATCAGAACTAGTAAGTCAAGACATAGCACTAATTGTTGCTGCAAGTTTCAGCAGCAAGATTATCTAACTCGGAACTAAAATCAACCATAATACAAATTGTTAACATTCCTTAATTTATCTAGTTTGAATTTGATCGATGCGAACTTCTAGGCTATTGTTTCTGAGACTTTCTTGCGGCCGTGGATTATTCTAGCAGAGATCTCAGACAAAGGGCCACAAGAATGCAATTCAATGATTTCTAATGTTGGGATATCTTCAATCTCACAAGAAGTTTCCTTCAACAGGTAGCAAAATTTGATACCACAAAACTAGGAAACTAAATTCATTAAGTATGCTTAATTCCTTTCATGAAAACCTTAAAAGTTGTTAACAGCACTGACCTGCAGATTCAAGGAGGCCGTATTTCATGCAAAAAGCGACTACTACATCTACTAATTCAACATTGTTTTAAGCTATAACAAAAAGAAATAAGAAGAAGAAAAATGAAAAGTTCAATTCTTCATACCAACACTTTCTTGAATCTAACAACAAGTGGTTCATCATTCAACCCAAGCCATCTCTTCCCATTCTCATTAAAAACACCAACATTCCCACACACTACCTTACAATTATTACAAACCCCAGGACAGAACACAATCTTATAATACCCATTATTAATACTACTCACATTCCCAATCCTCTCTATTCTAAACCAATTGCTCACTGTCTCCAGCCCCGGCCGGCCAGTCATGCCACCACTCATGACGTACCTCCGGCCGGTTATCTCGTCCGTTCCACCGAGCTTCCACGCCGTGGACTGCACACAAATGGTGGCAGTAAGAAACACAATGTTTAAATCAGTAGAAAGGTTTATGACATTTTGTTTATTGTCAACTGGCATGAATCTTGTTGGAAGGCCATTGGATGATTCAAGATTTTCTTGCATGACATAAAAAGGACATGGCCTGTCTTTAGCTGCTAGTGCTAGCCCACCTCCTCCAGTCCCATTTTGACTAGGTAAAATTGTGTACTTTGAGCCAATTTGGAGCTCATGGCCATCAATGTCTAACACTGGTGTTGTGGTTGTTGTTGTTGATGGGGCTGCAGGTTGGCTGGTTATTAGGCAAGCTAATAATAACAAACTCTGGAGTAGGAGTGATAATTTTAGATAGTTTGTAGTACTCATGGTACCTTTTCTTTTTGTTGAACAATGTAAGTACTAAATGACCAGTCACACGTATATATAAACTATCCGAGTTTTGGACCATTTAAAAAATTAAGTAACGAAGCATAGTACCACTGAGTAGTAGCCTAGTAGGTGTGATCATATAACACAAAGGGTTGATTGTTAAAATTTCTCATAATAAAAGTATAGAATTTGAGTCTTGAAAATGAACAATTTCTTAATAAAGAGCGCTTTATCTCCTTGGGAGGACTACACAACATGAATTTAAGTGATCCCTTATTGATTTGAATGTACCAGCAGATACTTGATGCCTAAAAACATCTTTTATTTTTGAGCGGGACCAGTTTAGCATTTTTCTTTTACATTTGTGTCTATTTCATTAAGCTTAAGATTATTTACTGAAAATTCTACTGAAACAATTGAAGGAGAAATTCAACGATATACAGTATATGTTATTAACTAAAAGCTAGCTATTGGCAAATTAGAATCTTAACTTGGATTTGGAAGGCCCCTGAATTATTGACTTGCACAATGCTAAATAACAAATTATACTTATATATATATTCGCAATACTCCTTGATATGTTGCAATCATAGTATCATATGTCAATTTTAAATTCTGTGATGTGTCGCATTGTAATTGCTAGTTGAAAAAAGAGTTTCACGAGGGAGAATATCATAGTGTCTTTTACCTTTTGTTACTTTCTCATGTGACACAATGGACGAAATGAGTGCTTTCAAAGATCGAATAAATGTTGGTAAATTTTTGTGAGTTGTAATTCTTTCGTAAATAAGAAGTTGCCCCCATATGCATGTAGTACGTTAATCAATGTTTATTTGCTCATGCTATACCCACTACACCTACTTGGTTGAATCATGATGGAACCCATATTTCATCTTCCAAAAGTTTGTTCTTGATTATTTGGTTGTGATTAAGTTTGGTTTTTTTGATCTTTTACCAAATGCACTGGCGGAGCTAGAGTACGAATTATGAGTTCAGTAGGACCTAATAGCTTTGGTCCAGATTTTTGTATTTGTGTTTAAAAAAATTTATTTAACATGTATACTAATTTATTCAGAATCCACTAAGCAGTCTTTTCTAGAATTTAGAATTCATAAACTCAATTCCTAGCTACGACTCTAACCAAATGATACCTTACCATAATACATCACCAGAAATCACCTTTTTCGACTACGAAAATAGCTGGAAAGTAGTCGAAAAATTTGAATTTTCAACTACTTTCCAGCTATATATTCTGGTGTAGTCAGAAAAAAGTACGTCGGAAATATTTTCTAACTATAGTAATCGAAAAATTGATTGAATATTTATTTATTTTTATAAAAAATTTCGACTACCCAATTCGAATTATAGTATCACACGTCCTAATACTAACGAGCTCCAGAGACCAAAATTATCCAACTAGACCTTCAATATTATCATGCTAACAATGTGAAAAGAAAGTGTTTAAGTGAGAAATTAAAAATAACAAGCTCCTGTTTAACAAGCAAGACATAATGAATTTTCTAGCTGTAATTAATTCCATGATGCACAAGAACCTTATGCATTCAATATGGTTTAGGTGAAAAAGCAAATGATGGGTTAAGTAACCAAAACCTTTAATAAAAGTTTAACAAAACCCCCTAAAAGGGAACTGTATTAAAAGCAACCTCTCCAAAATAATCATATGTCAAAGTCCTATTCCTCAATCAACTTCATTTCTTTTGAAGACAAACAATCCCAGTATTCATTCTAACCATTTGCTATAATTATGATAGCAAGAATTATCTTTTGCACTGCAGTTCTTCTAGCTACACTTGCAGTCATTCTCATTGCAATATTCTCACCAATACCCCACGAAAATAAATCCAAAAATTCTCCTTGGGTTGATTTATCCCTTTATATTCAACAACCTAAAATCTCCCCTTTGAATTTTACCCCTAAAAAAGCTCCAACGGATGTTGGCGCTTTGATTTTCCATCGCCTTCTCACTGAGGGGCCGGAAAACACCTCTCGAGTAGTTGGAAAAGCGCAAGGTTTTATCATCCCAATTCAAGATTTCGCGAATTCAGCATTTAATATTATTTACCTTACGTTTAATACCAATGAATTTAGTGGGAGTTTAAGTGTTGAGGCAAAGAGTTTGACAAATGATAATAAGGAAGAGCTAACTGTTGTTGGTGGCACTGGCTATTTTGCCTTTGCTCGTGGCCTAGCTGTTTTTGGACAAAGAGAAAGGGAACATTCTGATAATTTCGAAGCTACTTATCATATAAAGCTTCAATTGAAATTCCCAAATAAATCCAAAACAATTCCAAGATGAATTGCAACTTGTTGAAGCATCTTTTTCTTGGTTCTATTTATTTATTTTAATTTTTTTTCCTTTGACTTTTGCTTAATATGGACATAATTTTTTGAAGAAATATTTTCTTCATAAGAGAGTCGTATTAGATGGCATTGTATCAAAAAGGAGAAAGCAATAATACATGAATTGAGGCAGCTGCTTTTGCTCTGAATTGAAGGTTATGATTCGATTCTACTCTTTTATTCTGGCAAAAGGCAAAGTAATATAAATTTATCAATTTAGGTTATATACATTAACAATTGTAATATATTATTTGTATAATTTACTTGTGATAATGGTTTAGTTATCATTTTACTAAATTATCAATTAATGTTTTATCATTGAAAATTTACATGATCTAATTGTGTAAATATTTTTTATAATGTCAGTAAACGTTGAATTAGTCAATATATATATGAAAAATTCCAAACTCTGATCGTTTAGGATGATTGAATGGATAGTAAACAAGCTTTACTAGTTTATATTCTAGCAAATTATCTTAAGCCTTTTGCGGAAAATTTTCAGTGATTTTTTCCAATCGGAGTTAGGCTAATATTCTGGTTGTAAATGCCAATCAAGTTAGTGCGTTACTTTGGCCGGATCATGCTTCAATCCTACTTATCTTGAAATTAAGATATGGTTGTTCAAATGTTATTGAGCTATGTATATTTATATGTTTTCAGTTCACTTACTGTTAGCTTAGCTGTCAATTAGTTGGCAATTGGTTAGTTTGTTACATGTATTAAGTGGAGGACCCACGTGTGTATATATGTACTCACCTACGGAACTAATAAGATTGCACAATTCATTTCTAAGTTGAATTATCTCAGACTCTTCTCTCTCTCGAAGCTTCTGAGTTCCACCATGGGAGCTCAAGCTTGAGCTCGAGGTTTTCTGTGCTTTCTTCTACTTAACATGGTATCAGAGCTTTGCTCAATCAGATCCTACTTCTCGATTCCTGTTGGATCGTGATTTTCATTACAAAATCGGGAGTTTTAACTTTGCCCTAATTTTTCAATTTTGACTATTTCTCTTCTCCCAAATTGATTCTCACATGGCTATTCTCGATCAAACCGACGATTCCGGCATCGCCTCAGGTAGTTCCGTTTCTGCCCCTATTTCTGAGCCCAACATCGATCCGAATTGTCCCTTTTACATGCACCCGTCAGACAACCCTGGTGCAATATTGGTGACAACTCCTTTCAACGGTATCAATTATCGATCTTGGAGAAGAAGTGTTCTACGTGCTCTTTCAGTGAAGAACAAGTTATGCTTCATCAATGGTGAGTGCAAACGTCCAAACCAGATTCCGTATCTCTTCGTCAGTGGATGCATTGTGACGACATGGTTACTTCGTGGATCTTAAATTTGCTAAGGATATCGTAGATAGCATAGAATATGCCAATGATGCAGTAGAATTATGGACAGAACTAGAGGATCGCTATGACCAAACCAATGGAACGAAGCTATACCAAATTCATAAGGAAATTAACGATTTGTCTCAAGGAGTTCTCAACGTCACAGGCTATTACACAAAGATGAAAAAGCTGTGGGAAGAACTAAATAATTTGAATGCCAAATCTCAATGTAGCTGCCAATGCACCTGTGGAGCCAAAGAGTCTATGCACAAGGCCGAACAAGACAGGCGTCTGATTCAATTTTTAATGGGACTTAATGAGGTATATACAATTATGTGAGGTAGTATTCTGATGATGAATCCATTACCATCAGTAGCTCAAGCATTCTCTCTACTGATCCAAGATGAAAAACAGAGAGAAGTCAGACCAAATAATTTGCTTATGATGGAATCTGCATCTATAAATGTCAATACTTCTAGGAATATCAGCTTACCTATAATGGAATCTACTTCTTTGAATGCCAATGTATCTAGAAATGACAACTTCAAAACCAATTATTCGACTGGGAATCACCCAAAGAGCAGGCCTCGTCCATTCTGCGACTACTGCAAGCGTCCAGGGCACACCAAAGATAAGTGCTTTAAGTTGCATGGTTATCCTCAAAACAACAACTTTAATCCTAGGTTCAATAAGGGCAAGAGGATTTCTGCTAATATGCATGGTGCACCGGTTGAATCCATACCAGTCAAGGATGATGGGATGAGCTCTCAAGGGTGCAGTGACATCAACAACATGAATTCCCCTCTCAATTTGACTAAGGAACAATATGGGCAATTGTTCAATCTACTACAACAATTTCACATTGGGGGTGGAGGAGAGAACACCACCAGTCCGGGTTTAACCAATGGAAATGCCAATTTTGCAAGTATATTTGCTTGTTCTGCCTCTGTCTTGTCTATTGATTTTGGGCTACTATCATGTAGATGTTTTACACCAAGTGTTGACCTCTGAATTTTAGATTCCGGAGCATCCAACCACATGACCTTTAACAAATTCCTGTTATCTCACACTAAAACTCTCTCATATCCTTTGCTTATAACCTTGCCAAATGACTATCGAGTGAAGGTGACAGAAATTGAAATTGTAACACTTGCATCTCAGATAGTATTACATAAAGTCCTTTATGTGCCTTCCTTCAAGTATAATCTCATATCATTCATTGCCTTACATCACAACTTAAAATCTTGGTTGCATTCACTGATTCTTCATGTCTTCTGCATGCCACTTCAATGAAGAGGCCTCTGGAGATTGGTGAGATCAAAGATGGATTATATCTCCTCTGCTCCAGTTGTCTAAAGAATTCAGTTTCTGTTTAAATTCTGCTCATTTGACTTCTTGCACTGCTTTGCCTACTTCATGTGATGTAGATAGTTTGCATTCTCACATTCACTCATCTGTAAATGATTCACATACTCACACCCACTCATGTTCACTTGTAAATACTCCCAATTGCAATAAAACTCAGTGTTCTGCTTCACACTCCGTTTTGCCTAATACAAACAATGTGGACCTTCTATGGCATAATAGACTAGGACACGTGCCTTTTGTGAAGATGGGGGTATACCATCAATTCCAGTCCATTTTTCACCAAAACAACCCTTTTTTTGTTCAATATGCCCCATGGCCAGACAATCCAGGCTACCATTTCCTCAAAAAACCAGCTCCACTAGTAAACAACTTTGATCTCCTACATGTTGACTTGTGGGGACCTTATCATGAACCTACCCATGATAACTTCAAATACTTCATTACCTTAGTGGATGACTATAGTAGGTGTACCTGGACACACCTTTTGAGCGGTAAAAGTAATGCTTTACAGATTATTAAAGATTTTGTGTCTATGGTTGATACCCAATTTCAAACCAAAATCAAATGTATTAGGTCAGACAATGGCTTAGAATTTACTAGCACTGAGTCAACTCATTTCTTTCACTCCAAGGGAATTATTCACCAGAAAACATGCCCCTATACACCTCAACAGAATGGAGTGGTAGAAAGGAAATATAAGTATCTCCTTGAGACTGCCAGGGCACTCTTGTTCCAATCCAAACTACTCCTCAAATATTGGGGAGAATACATATTAACTGCTACGTACATTATCAACAGACTGCCTACTAATCATCTAAAAAACAGAACTCCTTTTGAATGTTTGTACAAAAGAGTGCCTACTTATTCTCACCTTAGAAGTTTTGGTTGTTTGTGTTTCCCTACCACTCCTAAACCTCACAGAACCAAATTTAAACCAAGAGCAACACCCCATGTCTTTGTGGGTTACCTCTATGACACAAAAGGGTACAAGGTCCTTAGTCTACTCGCCAAGAAAATCTCTGTTTCCAGAGATGTGGCTTTTCATGAAAATGTATTTCCTTTTGCTCTTTCTCCTGATTCTGCACCTTTTCCTTCCGTTTTTCAATCTGTTCCTTTTGTTGATGGTTTACCCTCTCATTGTAATAATTCTGATAGGTCTACAACCCATCCTTAAACATCTGACATACCATCCTTATTTGGTTCCTCCATTTCATCATCACATCCTTCTTCCACTCCTCATCCTATTACCTCTCCTATAGCCACCAGGAAGTCCTCTAGACTCCATAAATTGCCTGATCACCTGAAGGATTATGTATGCTCCCTTCCAAACTTAAAACCTCCTGTTTCCACTGATTCTCCTGTGTCTCTTAGTGCTTTGTTCTCCAACCATCATCATGTGTCTCTTACCTCATTATTCCTAGACAATCAGCAACTTATGCAAAATGTTTGTAATGATAATGAGCCTTCTTCTTATGAAGAAGCAGCCTTGCACCCTGCCTGGCAAAAGGCTATGTCTTTAGAGTTTGGGGCCTTGCATGCAAATAACACTTGGGACCTGGTTCTTTTGCCTTCTAGTAAGAAAGCAATAGGGTATAGATGGGTCTACAAGGTTAAACACAGGGCTGATGGGAGCATAGAGAGGTTCAAGGCCGCCTTAGTTGTAAAGGGTTACACCCAGCAGGCTGGGATTGACTATACAAAAACCTATTCCCATGTTGTAAAAATCACTACGGTTAGAGCACTTATAGCCACTGCAGTTAAGAAACACTGGGACATCTTCCATCTTGATGTAAACAATGCTTTCCTCCATGGTGATTTGGAGGAAGAGGTATATATGCAGTTACCACCTGGTTTAGTAGTGAACACACCTGGAGTTGTTTGCAAGTTAAGAAAATCTCTATATGGCCTGAAACAGGCTAGTAGACAGTGGCATTCAAAATTGGCCACTGCTCTTTATTCCAAGGGTTATGTTCATTCCTTGTATGATTATTCTCTCTTCTACAAGAAATCAACTTCTTCCACAATTTTTGTTGTTGTATATATTGATGATGTCATTATTACTGGGACCAGTTCTACAGAGATCACTAAGTAGAAAACCTTTTTATATGACCAGTTTAAGATTAAGGATCTAGGCATGCTTCATTACTTTCTTGGTTTAGAGGTCCTCTACAAAGAAGATGGGGTTATCATCTCCCAGAGAAAATTTGAACTGGATCTCTTAAAGGAGTTTGACTGCATCCATTGCACTAGTCTTACTTCTCCTCTTGATCCTAATGTCAAACTGAGAGCTAAAGAGGGAGCTGTTCTTTCAGATCCTACATACTACAGAAAACTAATAGGCAAGCTTAAATTCCTCACTAACACAAGATTGGATATTGCCTTTGGTGTCCAAAATTTGAGCCAATTTATGCAGGATCCTAGAGAACCCCACCTACAGGCTGCATTCCACTTGCTTAGGTACCTTAAGGGTGATCCTACACTTGGAATCTTTTTGTCCAATGATCTTGATTGCACCATTAAAGGGTATTGTGACTCTGACTGGGCTGCCTGCCCAGATTCTAGGAGGTCAGTCAGTGGTTACTTGGTGTTGCTAGGTACTAGTCCTATCAGTTGGAAGTCTAAGAAGCAGGAAACCATTTTTCTTTTCTCAGCTGAAGCTGAATATAAGTCTCTTAGAAAGGTGATTGGGGAGTTGACATGGTTATGCAGATTGTTTGAGGAGCTGACTATTCCCTTTCATACACCTGTAACTGTGTATTGTGACAGCCAATCAGCTTTACACATTGCTAGGAACCCTGTGTTCCATGAGCGGACCAAACATATCAAGGTTGACTGTCATTTTATGAGGGATAAACTTCAAGAAGGTCTCATCTCCTTGCATCACATTGGCACACGTAACCAGCTGGTAAACATTCTCACCAAGGCTCTCACTGGCATCAAACATTCCACTGTGTTGAGCAAGTTGGCTATGAAGACCTCACTTCCAATTTGAAGGGGGGTATTGAGCTATGTATATTTATATGTTTTCAGTTCACTTACTGTTAGCCTAGCTATCAATTAGTTGGCAATTGGTTAGTTTGTTACATGTATTAAGTGGAGGACCCACGTGTGTATATATGTACTCACCTACTGAACTAATAAGCTTGCACAGTTCATTTCTAAGTTGACTTCTCTGAGGCTCTTCTCTCTCTCGAAGCTTATGAGTTCCACCATGGGAGCTCAAGCTTGAGTTCGAGGTTTTCTGTGCTTTCTTCCACTTAACAAATGTCACTCAATTAATGAAAATTATATTAAAAAATCACCTTTTCTTTAATTTGTAAACCAACCAAAAAAGCGAACCCGTTGAAGTTTAGGGCACTTTGGACTAAAGAGAACCCATCTAAGGTAAACAAATTTCCCAATTTGAGCCAGACTTTACCCTATAATGGAACTTTATAACTCTTTTAGTGGATCGATCCGTACCAATTCAAACTTATCGTACCAATAAGCTACAAATATCAATTAGTTAAAAACAAAACTCCTATGACAGACGATAAACTAATGGTTAGACAATAAACAACTAATCTATTCTCCACGTGGATACGAGCTTGACCTTCATCTTTCATCATCTATTGAATCAGTCCTATTAATTGATTCCACTATCTTACTAATCTTCATGTGAGTTTTAGAATCTATAATCTTTTTGTGCCAAGAATAACATAGAGTTGGCTATCTGAACTTTTATTTTGTTAGTGAAAATTCAATTCACCACCTTATAATGAGGATGTTGAGATGGATGTACGGGTACACTAGGATAGATAAGATTAAGAATGATATTATTCGGGAGAAGGTGCACGTGGCTCCATTGATGACAAGATGCGGGAAGCGAGACTTAGATGGTTTGGACATATTCAAAGGAGAAGCCTAGATGCTCCGGTACGGAGGTGTGAATGGCTGGTTGTGGAGGGCACGAGAAGAGGTAGAGGGCGGCCTAAGAAGTATTGGGGAGAGGTGATCAGACAGGATATGGCGAGGCTCTAGATTTCCGAGGACATGACACTTGATAGGAAGATGTGGAGGTCGAGTATTAGAGTTGTAGGTTAGGATGTAGTTGAGTCTCGACTTACATCATACCATTGTGGGACTAGCCAAGTAGAGTTTTTGTCTAAGATAGCTAGTGACAATATTGTGTTTTACTACTTCGCTTTTCAGTGCATGTCCTATTTACTAGCTATCGCTTTTGCTTTGCATCTTTCTTCTATATTTTTTGGTGTTCCTATTTTTCCTATGATTATTGTGCTGATACTAATATTGTCTTCTTTTATCCTTTTGTCTTTTTATTTTCTTGAGCCGAGGGTCTTTCAGAAATATCCTATCTACTCCTTTGGGGTAGGGGTAAGGTTTGCGTACACACTATCCTCCCCAGACCCCGTTAATAAAATTTTACTGGATTGTTGTTGTTGTTGTTTGTATTACGTTCCCGTTCCCCTTCCCCTTGCATATATAATTTAAAGAAAAATCAAAGAATAAAAATTAGATAGGGTTGTACCGTTATCTATGTATAAAGATTGTCCAGGATGCACCCAAAAAAAATATATGATTATCCACGAAAATGAAACACTCTCCGCTATCCTTTCTTCTATCGTTAGTCTATTAGGGCTACATCTCCCTATCAATAATTTCGAATAAATCTCAACTAAAGCACTCCGATCCAGTAAATCAAGAAAGATGCTGAATAATTTTCAAAATATGTTCCACTAACGATCACAGTACACTATATAACTATCAGAGTGTGGCAAACGAGAATGAATAACACATAAAAAACTTCAAGATCTCTCTATTGGAATATTTAATAACCATCCATTCTTGATCGACAGAAGTAATTGTAACATGCAAAAATACCATAAAACATGACTTTTTTTAAAAATCAAAGGTCATACTTTTTGACATAAAACAGCGCCTTTCATGAGGCAAAGGCTACGATTTACAAAAAGTGTCATGACTTTTTTAGTAACCAAAGGCCGCGCTTGTAGTACCTTTCTGCGAAAATGCTTTTCATGTCCTACAACTGTACTTTTGAAGCGCAACCTTTGATAAGTAAGTTTTGATCTAATCAAAAAACCTAGATCGTTTTAGGTACTGTATTAGCAATCAAATATTTTTATATTATTACATATTTAATATATTTTTTAATATAAATACAGAGTTTAAATAAAAATTACTAATTTCGTCCGAACTCGTACCTGCTGACTGATTTCGTCCGAACTCGTACCTACCGCACTCTTCCGCTCCTACTTATTGGCTATGGTTTTTGAACATAGATCTTAAAGCAACACTTTAAAAAATGGCTTTTTTATTGTAATAAATCGAAGCAGAATAAGTTTTAATTAAACATAATTAAGTAATAAATCTTGCATAAAAATACATTGACAGTTCTTCTATTATTAAAAGGCAAAGTGGACTTTAATGTCACCCCATATCAATAATATATATTATTATTATTATTTTATTAGGTTAATAAGAGCATATAACTCCATTCTGTAGTCTTACCATTAAAATAAAGGTCACATGCTGCTTTGGACTTTTAAAAAATAACTCTGTTAAAGCAGAAAACAAAACAAGACAAACCCAGAAATTCAGAATTTCTATTCCCTCTGAACCCTTTTTGTCTGCCACATTCACATGAGAAGATTAAATATGAACTTGACATTTTTGCATAGCACATGGGTAGTATGGGGGCTTAATTAATTTAAACTAGAGCACAAAAAATTTAAAAAAAAATTATACGCTTTATAAGAGTTCAGCTTTATAAGTGCTGAACAAAATCTGTAAGTAAAATACATAAAAAAATAAAGCATATTGATAGAGGAAAATATGGCAAGAATGATTATTTTACTATGGAAATGAAAATTCATAGGACAAGGATCGCTTGACAAAACTATTTACACTCGATAGCCGTAAAAATATATAAAATTTATATTTTTTTTGAATATCACATACAGAAATATATATATATATATATACAAAAAAT